GATTCGACTCCAAGGCTTGATTTTTCAATTTCGGCCATAAACTTTATAAGCAATAAAAGTATGTTTGCTATCTTCATTTTATTGTTTATAAAGTTTTAAGGCCGAAATTGCAAAATCAGGCCTTGGAGTCGCATCCACCAAAGTGTAACGAATATATTAAAACCAGAATTATTAGAAAATATTGCTTCTTTGCTTCAATATCCTGGAAAAAAATTATGCTAGCCTAATCGCCCTATCCTCGTCTCTCCTGCAATTTTTGTATCGCCCTCTCTGTCCTTATCCCAAAGTTTCCTACTTTTTCCGCAACTGTCGCTGAAGTCAACTCGGAGTTTGGCTCTGGGTCCTGCGCACCCTTAAGGGGTAACATCACTATAGAGGCTGAAAAAAAGGCCTAACTTCGATAATTAATTTTGTGAGTATCGCAAAAATAATAGGATTTCCTTTTACAGGGTTTATTTAACACCTATCAAAGTATAAACAAAAATTGTTGTATTATAATTTTATTACAAAATGGCGGCGACGAAGCGAGTCTTAAAAATTGACTTTTGTTAAAACCACTTCACGGGAGAACGGTTTTCTTGTTGTGTATAACAGTTGGAACAAAAAACCAACAAGTTTCATAATATATATATACTGTTAGCTATAGAAGTACGTAGGGGTTTTTTTATTTAATGTAAACTTTCATTTTTGTTAACAATTTACTCTTTATTCTTTAGCCAAAAAATGGGTCAGTGCGCTATTTCTACAATATATGATTAAAAAAAAAACCCCTACGTATTTCTATAGCTAACATATATATATATATTATGAAACTTGTTGGTTTTTTGTTCCAACTGTTATACACAACAAGAAAACCGTCCTCCCGTGAAGTGGTTTTAACAAAAGTCAATTTTTAAGACTCGCTTCGTCGCCGCCATTTAGTAATAAAATTATAATACAACAATTTTTGTTTATACTTTGATAGGTGTTAAATAAACCCACAAAATTAATTATCGAAGTTAGGCCTTTTTTTCAGCCTCTATAGTGGTGTCACCCCTTAACTTTTCACTCCCTATTTGTGGACTCTTTTTAGTATTAATTCTGCAAATCTAAAATTGAATTCACTACTGAAATTTCAACTCGATGGAAATTATTTTTTAATGTATTTCACATTAAAATTTAATTTAACCACACGAAGAAGAAAAAGAAACGTGCCAGAATTATGCAGAAATCGACACACAATCTCCTCCCCTAAAACCTCAGTCTTTGTATTCTTTGATAATCGTTTCTGCAACACGGCCCTTTAATGAACGCAGGACTCATTAGTTCCCGGAAAAAGTGTACCACAGTTTTACGCCCGGCTCTCAAAGGAAGAGGGTACCGAGTATATTTTTCAACGGAAAACACTTTTCCGATTGCGGAAAATCCTGCGAATTACGGTTCGAAAGATACATTGTTAGCATTCCCCTCGTGAAAGTCGTCGCTAGCGTCCACTCGGCGTTAACGTAGCTCCTCGAAAACTTGTCGAGTGGTTTCGGAGGGCGGAGGGGGAGTTGGACTCTTACAGCAAAAGAACCATTTCGCCTTTTGCCTCGCGCTTATTGCCCCGCGTAATTGCACAACCGTTTCGCTTCTGTCCTATCGGGCCAAGGAACAAAGAGACTGAGGACGTTTGTTTCAGGGTTGACGTAACGATCGGGGGTTATAAACGGTACAAATTCTATTAAACACGTTCGCGGAACGACGCTCCGTCCCACACGATTCAGCATACCTGTCGCGAGGACTCTTTGAAGCGCGTCACGCGCGCCCGTTGCAGTATAATTATTTGTTTATTCGTTTTACCAAGAAGACCCTTCAACGTCTAAATAGGTCGCGTAACGTGCTCGCGGTTGTTACAGTTGGTTGCTTCTCTATTTTCTGTATGAAAATTTTCTTGTCTTGTTTCATTTTTGGGTCGTTGTTGCGAATAGTATGGGGTGGAAGAGGCCTATAATTTGAATTTGACAGGTGTTCGTGCTCATTATATTATATAAAATTGTTGCGACGGTATGAAGATGCCGCACTGCAGTTCCGAGTTACATCGTCGCGACTGTGTGAAGATGTTGCGGCGATGTGAAGTTGCAGAAACGAGTTCCCGCGCTTCCGGTTGCCAGGAAGCGGCAAACTTTTAAAATAGAAGAGAGCGATTCGAGAACTCAAAGAGAGAAGACGTTTCGTTACAAGTCTCCAAGATTATCGTTATATTATCGTTATATTGTTTAAAAGTTATAATTTGTTAATAAACTTTATATTTAATTAAAATGAATTCTCATGCTTCAACCCCCCGGCGCAACAATATATTCAAAATATTTATTGTACGACGGTTGTTCAGAAAGTAAGTTTAACGATGTTAGCGTTGGTGTTGGTGAGAAGGTAGAACTATAAAATTTTAGGAACATGTTCTTTCATTTATTTTGATCAGTTTCGTGTGTCGTAGACTCTGGTCGGTCGATTGTCGCGTGTTTTGTAACATTTTATAATGGCGATTCCGTTAAAATTTGCGTCCAAGTGTGAACCGCGTAGTATAATACGTTTTTTTACCGCTGAAAACTTCACAGCCACAGAAATTTATCGAGAATTGTGTTCCGTTTACGGCGATAAATGCGTGAGCCTGCAGATGGTTACGCGTTGGCGAACAGCGTTTCTAAATGGCCGCGAAGAGTTGCACGATGAAGAGCGCGAACGACGACCAGCGGACGCAAAGTGGACGAAAGTCATTACCTCTTGGGAATTCAAAAGCTTGTTACTAGTTATGCGAAATGTATTGATAGATGTGGCGATTACGTAGAAAAATAAAAAAATTGTCTGAAAATTTTAAAAATGACCTTGTTTTTGTGTTTTGACCACTCTTTCACAGCGTAATTAGACCGTTAAACTAACTTTCTGAACGACCCTCGTATTATATTATCCATTCCTAAACGTGCTACCTGACATTTCGCATCCCCAAATAATTCATCCAAATACATTTGCAATACATTCGATAACGATTGATCGCGAGGTTCCCGAAGAGAATCTTCTCCTCAAATGCTGACAGAAAGAATAAAAGTAACGGCGCAACAGGATGTCCTCATTCACTAATGTATACGGCACAAAGTGGCCTAGGACTACGAGTTTACTCAGTTTCAATGGATGCCGTGTTTCACCTATCGAATACCTATAAGACTCCCTTTCCTTTGGAAATCGTTCCGATTCAATGGCTGTGCATCTGCACGTCAGAGCGGAATCGCGAGATTCACTGCGTCCATTGATCCATGAATGAAGCTCGCAAAGTCATCCGGCTTCCTCCTTGTCGGATGCTTCCAGAAGGCTGGCGCGCGGAAAAGAAAGCCGGAAAGGAATACAGAAGTGTGCCGGAGCTTTTCTCGCGCAAACGTCACGAGGCTTAGTCGATTCGCGTCACGTATTCGGAACAATGAGTTACGTTGTTCAACGACAAGGCGATCCTCGTCTTGAATCGTTCAATGACGACCGTAACCCCGCCTCTCGTTCGTCCATCTTTAATGAAGCTCGAGGAGATAAATGCTAGTTGCGTTGCAAGCACATTTTAGATACTTGATTATTCTCCAGGATTATTTTAGACTTTTTGTGGCTTCGATTGTCAGAAAAATCAAATTCATTTGATTTGGAATCGTCTCTTTTATGTATGGACGACGAAACGAAAAATTCATTGCTTTTTGGCTATTTAAATATTAGTGAAATATGTAATTAGCAGTTTACTAGAGAAACAATGGAATTCAATGAATATAATGAACATCTTGAATTTAATTAAATATATTGAATATATTGAATATATTTAATTAAATAGAATACAATGGATATGTTAAATTCAACCGAATTCATTAAATTTATGCCCTGGATAACCAACGAATCACACCTAATTTTATTCAGAATTTAGAATCGTTCCTCGAAAAAATTAATTGTATTCGTGAGATTTAAATGTTAGTATTAACGACGCAGAAGTAAACAACGGATTTCCTTGGTCCTGTTTCCCGACCTACTTCAAAGCTCAACGGAACGTTAAATAATTTACGTTATTTGCATTTACAACCACGCTCCAAGAAAAGCAAACAGCCTTTCGACCGCGTCTATCGCCTTTGAAACGGCAGCATTCGTCGCTCGTTTTCCACTTGCTTAAAAAGAACAGTTTGCGCCAACTACATCGCGCGCAACACGCCACCAGACCAGAACACGTTCGAGCTGGTGTTTATTGCCGCAACTATTTGGTACAATTTTCACGGTTGGAGGTATTGCGACGCAATGCACCACTCATAAACTCATGGCCCGCGAGTGAAAACACTTTTCTACGATTTTCTAAAGGCAATCTGCGGTTCTTATTTTTACGTGATGCGGGCCACAGTTGTGGAAACGCGTATTTTTTCGAAATCGTTACGTTTCACGAGATGTGCGCAGAAGTCTCGTTTAGGTAAAATGGGGAATTATAGGTGGAAGATGAGTAATATGTAAAATTGGATATAATTTTCGATTTCTCATGAGGCTGAACAGACACCGATGTCGAAGAAATATATTCAATGTTTACAGAATTCAGAATTGAATATAATGGACGTCTTGAATTCAATTGAACGCGTTGAATGTATTGAATTGAATTAAATATATTCATTGTACTAAAAACGTTCGAAAACAGACACCCGAAGAAGCTATACTGACAAGCATCCTGTACAAATGTGCAGATCACGTAATTCGCCACGAAAGCCAACAATTAGTTTATAAATTCTCCGCGTATCTTCGCTACTTTCGAAAATAGAACTTGGAAACTTCGAAAGGTATACCGTTCGACCTTTAATCCGAACTTTCTCCCCAACAAAGAAAGCACGGAATCTCTTATTTTTAGCTGCCCTAAGTTTCGTCAAAGTTTACGTCGAACACTTCACGAATACTCCATCCTCGTTAACGAAAGTTTCGGGAAATGGTATAACACGGTTGAACTAATTTTTAAAAGCGGAAATATCGTTTGGAATAATTACCTATGGTGTACGTCGCGCCGTCCAGTTGGAAAGTTGCGCTCTTGCACTTCTTGAAGAGCTTGTGATGAGGATAGGGCGGTGGAAGCGGCGGTGGCGGTGGCCCCTTCGGATCCTGTTTGCTCATGGTGTTGCTCCTCGCACTTCCGGTTACTTCTTGGTCATCAATTATTCGCGATCACTGTTCCCGACGAGTCACTCGCGAACGAACGCTTAGGAGACGATCATCTCGCTTTAATATTTAAACCAATTTATTCGTGAATGGGAGAAAAAGTGTTCGAGAATATATTGAATTCAATTGGATGCATTCAATTCAATTAACACGTTTATCGCCACGTCACCCGTATATGGGAGACTATGATTTTCACTGATGAACAAAAAAATTAATTCTGAGAGTTAAGCACCAAAAAGGAAATGAATTTAAATGAAATTCATGAGTTTTGATGAAGTTACAAAAATAAATACCACGATAGATGTTTGATTATGTAGGCTGCAATAGTTTAAATAATATTTAATCCTAACAGAAATGTTCGAGAATATTTGTCTGACGATGAACGTGTTAAATATATCGAATAAACTGAATAAAGAAAGAAGAAAAATTGATCTGATGGAATCGAGCCTCGAACCTCTAATCTTCAGATTATGAAGCTATACTATTATAGTATTATACACTATTATAGCTATAGTATGCTTTTACTTGGATCGCTGCTCCGCGTAACGTACTAAATATATTGAATTGAATAATATACAGGGTGAGTCCGAAGAAACAGAACACCTAAATATCTCCGCTACATTTCGTTGTACAAAAAAACTTGTTAGGACAAAGTTACACTATTTGAAGGGCTACATGTAACGGTGTAAGGGAATTAATTTTCAAAGTCTTTTTTGTATAAAATTTCAAGGTCATCGATGTTTTTTTAAATGGAATGATATATTTTCGTTAACGTAACGTTGTAGAAACAGGTACAAATGACCTTCAACCCAGAAAAGTGGAATAAATAAAATTCAACGTGTAAGATTCGTGAATACTTTAAACAAATAAAATAAATTAAAATCGCCCCGCTGGAGAAAGAAAATTCCCAGATATCAATTTTTATCCCTCATTTCAGCCGTCGTCCGCAGATTCTGTGAGGTAAAAATATAAAAGCGAGCCGAGGCAAAAATTTCACGAGCCACTGATCCGTCATATTAATGAGATTGAAATTTATCTCCAACGAAAGAGCCTCGGCGAAGAGCGACGATATGAAAAAAAAATAAGAAGCCTTCACTGGAATTCATCGGAAATCCTGTCTACGGTATTGTTTTTTAAAAAAAAAGCGCAAGGGAAGCTGCTCCGAACTGCTACCGTCTTGTGAACTTTAATAAAAGATTTAGAGTTAAGAGTTCAACTCCCACTCTTAGATAAGAAATTTACGAGAAGGGCATGGGTCTTTCGGTAAACCTTCTTTTCATTAAAATTTTATACTTCTTGGCTTTAGTATGTCCGAATGACGACGTTGGCGTAACAAAATTGCATGAAATGCAAAATTTTCAGGTAGTTTCAGTAGAGCATATGCATATTTTCTCTGTAAACTATTAGGTTGTCCCAAAAGTTTCTTTCGCTTTATTAATAAGTAATACATGCACAATACTTCATGTTTTATGTTACATTACTGAATTGTGCACGATTCATTTTGCTCCATTACTGTTACAACATGAATATCTACGAAATTAGATTCTCTATTTATAGAAACATGACCACATAAAATAATCGAGTGCAACTCGCGAAAGAAACTTTCGGGACAACCTAATACATTATCGATAGACTTTTTTTCATTTCTAAGAAGACTAACTTTTAAGAAAATACTATACGTACATGTGTATATTATACAAAAAGAATTCTAAATTAACTTTATAAAAAAATGTTATATAACTTACAAAAAATTCTATCAACTTTACAGAGAAAGTCGATGATGCAGCAATGTGAATTCCATAAATAACCATTCCAACGTGAATAAATAATACGGAAACGATTTTTGAAACTTTGCTCGCCGTGGGAATACCGACGATACGAGATCCTGCCAACTCATAAACACAAAAATAACTGGAAACGAAATCTGACGCTTCGAGTTACCGACGAGTCCCTCGTCCGATATTGCTAGTTATAACGCGCTCGCCGAACAAACGAAAAATTCCCTGTGCACCGATAAAACTTTCCAAAGCACTAAATTCGCGAACGATCGTCTCGCGTAACCAGCGCATTTCTCGAAGAACCGGGCCACGGTGCAGTCGCAGTAAAAATCTCGGGAAGCACCGCGGGCGTAACACTTTATCACTGGTCCTCCAGGGAGGGAGTGGGTTTGTTTCGCCGGGACAAATGGAGAGGGAGGAGGCGGTGGTTTGCCAAAAGCGGCGAAGGGTAAAGTTCAATTTCGCTCGGCTGACCACGAGGAAAGTCCATCAAACAACGTGGACGGGGAATTAACGTCGTGCGTGTGTGTGCATTAGGGTTGCATTAGGGCTTTAGCTTTGCTTGACGAACATTTTCTTTTTCGAAACACAAAATCCCAAAAGGACTTAAGGTTGAATGCTAGTTAATTATAGATCGTTGACTTTCGAGGAGAGTAAGAATTTGGCAACTCAACTAAACCTCACGTGCTAAAGACAATAGAACCAATTCAAAACTCATCATTAAGAATCATCACTGGAAGTTACCGAACAAGTCCCATACCCAGCATTTTATTTGAAGCCAAGGAAACATCGTTTGAACAACGACGAAAGGTACTCAGTCTAAAATACGCAACGAAAATTGCCTCTACTCCAAATAATCCACCCTATCACAACGTATTTTCCAACAAATATTAAGACCTATATACAAAAAGGCCCAAACTACCAACTCCATTTCACACCAGGATTACTAAGTACTTCAACTCATACAATACTGAAAAAACACCAATTATGGAACGCAAACATGAAAATATAGCTCCCTGGACCATAAAACCTCCAAAAACCAATAGAGTTGGCAGATATTCCAAAAAAAAAAACAAAAAATTCCAATAGAACACAAATCTAAATTCCTAGAACTGGATTATAACTTCACGAACCACAATAAAATATATACCGATCCATAAAAAACGGAGAATGGAGTGGGATATGCTATCATCACTGAAAACACCGAAATAAAACAAAGCCTACCTAAATCTACCACTATCTTTACCGCTGAAGCCTTAGGAATACTGGAAGCTGTCAACCTTATATCTACACATCCCTTACAAAACCACGTTATATGTTCCGACTCCATAAGTGTAATAAAAGCCTTAGAGTGAACGTAAACGAAAAGAATAACTCCGAAATCATCCAAAAAGTCCAGGAAACGTGCACCAAACTTACAAACAAAAACAAAAACATAACAATTACTTGGGTACCTTCCCACCAAGGCATCACTGCCAACGAATAAGCAAGACCTCATTGCAAGAGAAGCGACAACCATGACTCCAAATAATGAAATAGAAGTCCCATACCAAAACTTGATTACAAGAATACAACACACATCGAAAGAAGAATGGAATAAAATATGAAACAACAAAAGAACAAAAACTCACAATATAACGCACGACTTTTACCAAACAGTATCCCAACACTCCATAACCAGGAGAAATAAAATAATAATGACTAGATTGAGAACTAGACATTCAAAAATCACACATGAATACATTTTAAAGAAAACGGATCCTCCCCACTGCGACTCCTGCAATGAGGAAATCACAAATGACCATCTACTATACGAATGCAGCAAATTCGATCAACAAAGAAGGAAGTATAACCTCAATCCAGAAACAGCTTTAACATCCCAGGAACATATGCAAAATACCATCAACTACCTCAAGGACACCAAACTCTACAGTAGTATATAGTACCACCAGAAACCCAATCAAATTTGTCGCTAATTACCATGCAGTAGATGCGACGTAAAATAAATCCATATAAAAAAAAAGAATTTGGAAGAGAGATAATTAATTTTGAGAGTGAGATTGCGATGAGATTTGAATCGAGGAAATAATTTTAAATACCTCGGAAAATGGCAATGGTCACTCTTATGAAGGGCGCAAAAATCAGTGGCCATGTAGAGCAGTGGCGAGTAGTGGTGAGTGTGGTCAGTAGTGGTCCGTGATGATTAGCTTGCGTAGGTAATTGAACGAAGTTGGCTGTGGTCAGCGTAGGACCAATGAGTATCCACGTATAACACCACACACACGCAAAATTGCGAGATCCGTTTCGTCCGATGGATCAACAAAGACTGACGAGTTATGGAAAGGCGTTGGCCAAGGTGATAGAAAAAAGGGTCGCCACGTACCTCGACTGGCTTAAATATTTACGTCGACATACGCTCGCTGAAAATGATTACTCTAGCAGAATGATGACGCAATTGTTGTTTAATTTTATTGACCACTGACCACTGGCCACTGCTCGCCACTCTCCACATGACCACAACATGCTTCCTTCCCATTGAATATTAAAAATTTCCAATAACTCCCAAACGACCTCGACGATTCGTTTCTCTTTCTTCCTCTTTTTCCATCGTTCCAGTTCCAATGATTATTCTAGCAGAATGATGACGCAATCGTCATTTAATTTTGCTGACCACTGACCACTGGCCACTGCTCGCCACTGTCACCTTCCACATGACCACAACATGCTTCCTTCCCATTGAATATTAAAAACTTCCAATAACTCCCAAACGACCTCGACGACTCGTTTCTCTTTCTTCCTCTTTTTCCATCGTTCCAACAATAATTCTCTTTTTTTCCAACCATTTGGCTTTTTCGATCCCCAACCCCATCGTTCGTCGTTTCGCTCTCTTTTTACTCATCCATCGGTTCGCACCTACAGCCGCATCAGCTAAGCTTCTATTTGTATTGCTGGATTCCCTCTTTTTTTCCATTTTCTTCTTATCCCGGATCTTCTTTCCCTTTTATAAGGTCGAATGTAACTGGATTTTTCCCCCTTATTTTCTCCCATCGAAAAATAACCTTCGTTTTTACCCCTAACGCTGCTTTCTTATTCCAGCCTCGGACGTGACGAGCTTTCTTACTTAACTTTCGACGACACGTTCCTATTAAAACAATACGCTTCTTCCTGTTTCTATCT